ACCCCCAGGAGTCACAGTTTTGGGGCACTAGAGTCACAAGCAATGCTGAGTCCAGAGTTCTGGCCACTTTAGTTTTACGCTGTTAGGGGCATCCTGGGTAAAGGAGGGGCAGCCCAGGAGAACAGATGGTCACTGCTGGGCAGATGGCGGCTGGGGTGCAGAGTCCGCGGACATGCAGAAGACACCCGACTGGTGGGGACCTGGCTGCAGTCCACATGGCCGCAGTCTGCTGCAAGTCAGAACTGACTGGAGCACCGTCGGGCCCACCAGTCTCTCCTGCTGACTCACAAACCTCACACACTCCCAGACGGCACCCACTGAGAGCTCACCCGCACCTGGGGACAGGCCTCCATACATCCATCAGAGTCGCAAATCACTCGCCGGTTTTATTTTCCGTGTCTCTTATCAGATGGATCTCTAGGATTATCCAATAGCTCCTCCTTTCTGTTTACCCAGAGCGCCTCTTTTCAAGATAAGCCTGCACACCCATGAGTAACAGTCAGATACCCATATCAGCTTCCAGGTACTTTTAATTCAAGGCTGGAGGTAATGTTATAGCTTTCTCTTTTTCACAGTTCAGAAGCATGACATAAGAAGACATTTAAGCATCCTCATAGTGGATCCATGAGATGATGTTGTGCTGGAAAAGGTAGTGTTTAATGGAACGAGCCTTGCTTGAACATGTGAACGCCGTCTGTATGCGATGGCGTATTTGTACAATATAATGTAGCTGTGATCTCATTCTGAACAGATACAGCGTTTGTTGATGTGACACCAAGTGTTTTCTTTGACTGTCAGTACAAAGAAGGAAGCCATTTGAAGGCGCAATTAGGTACCAGCTGTTATGTCATTATTCATTTTTATGTTTGAACGGGTCTTCCATGATTATGCACAGGACTGTTTGTATTAACAGTGCCTGTTTATTAGATGCTTGTTGTGAATGTGTCCATAATAGTCACAATGCAAATGAGGTCTTGGTTTAGTAGAACAGTCTTGGCAAGCAAAGCTGTTCCTGTGTTTTAGAAAAACATCAAAGAGAAATAAAAAAAACTTAGATTCTGAGGAACTCAATCCAGAGCAGGAGCAACAGGAAGCTCTTCATTCTTCAGCCGAGCGAGGAGTGGGGATGGTATTTCATTAAGACCTGGGCTTGTCACAGTTTGTTTAAATCCCACACACTGCCTTTTATTGACTGACTTGGTCACTTTGTCTTTGCTTTTGAGGATTAGTTCTCTCTGTTGAAGACTAAAGAGAGTCAGTGGAGGACACTGAGGTTACAGCCCGGGAATGGATCTGATTAGTCTTCTCTGGAATGACCCCAGAGCAGCAATATCTTTTCTACAATATTGCGAATGAAATAGTACAACATTTCCTAAATGAGGCCCTAATAGAGCATTATGCAATTTAAATATCCCTTTATTTACATTATATGCCTTTCACTATACAGTATGTCCTAGCATTTTGTCTTTTTAATTGCTTCCCCACATTGTTTAGAAGACATAAATGATACATCTGCATAAACAAAAGTCTTTTTGGAAGCATCTCTTTCATCACAGTGTTTTTCCATTCTGTATTTATAGTTTGTTTTTCCTTTCTGGAGTATTAAACACATCCTTGTGTTACTTGCCAGCAGCCATATCACCCTGCAACCCAGCTGGCAGCCCACTGGAGCTCAGCAGGTGTGAGCCTGGTCAGTACCTGGATGGGAGACCTCCTGGGAAAAACTAAGGTTGCTGCTGGAAGAGGTGTTAGTTGGACCAGCAGGGGGCGCTCACCCTGCAGTCTTTGTGGGTCCTAATGCCCCAGTATAGTGACGGGGACACTATACTATAAAAAGGCACTGTCCTTTGGATGAGATGTAAAACTGAGGTCCTGACTCTCTGTGGTCATTATAAATTCCAGGACATTTCTCAAAAAGAGTAGGGCTGTTACCCTGGTGTCCCAGCAAAATTTCCCCCTGGCCTTTACAAGTCATGGCCTCCTAATAATCTCTGAACTGGCTTCATCATTCTGTTCTCCTCCCCACTGAGAGGTGATGTGTGGTGTGATGAACTGGTGCACTCTGGCTACACACTGGTGGTGGTGGAGGGGATCCCCTTTAACTGTAAAGTGCTTTGAGTGGACTGTCCAGAAAAGAGCTGTATACTGTAAGTGTAAGCGTGTTTTATTGCTCTACTAATAAATCTGTATTAGTAGTCTGGGCATGCCCCCCCTGTATTGTTTTGTTTTTTTATTTATTAAGTAGTTCTCAATCAAAACGCACGTTTCTCCAAATGATTACTGTGATTTGGGAATTAAGATTTTATGGGGAACTGAAAATATAAATACACCATGTCATATGCTCTCTGTATGTCAATTATTGCTTGTTTAAAGAGCTGTAGCAGTTAGTTGCATTTAGATTCTCTGACCTATAGTATCTGTTAGTAGCAACCAAACTAGATGATCTGAAAATGCACCTCTTTTCTGAAACCTTTCTTAGGTTATTATAACTGTATCTCCTGCATTGTGAGGGGTGGATCATAAATACTATACAGTACATTACTGGAAATAAAACAGCACAGTTCAATTTTTTGTGCAAATTCTGAATTATTTCCCTCTACTGAGTGCGCGGTCCTGCCTGGTGACCTTGAACGGCTTATTTTCTTGGAGCAGGGTGCAAACAGACTCTCTGAGGACAGGAGACAGTGTGTCAGCAGATGGACAAGAAAGAGAAACAGCTCTGGAGACTTTCACTGGCCCTGAACAAGCAGAGCTCTCTGCGCCCAGGGGAACACAGACAATTAACCTGCCAATACAGTTTGCTGTCCAGGGTAGCTGGGTGGCAGAAACAAAGCTAAAGCAATCTGGACATCAATAGGAACAAAACTGCATTTCCCTTGTTTGTTTATTGATTTGACTGGAGTACTGTTTGCTTTACCAGGGAAGACAGGCTTTTGAAAGCCAGTTTATATTTAATTCATTATGATCCCATTAATTAAAGCGTTACTGAATAATGTATAAAGATACATGTTGAAAATGGATTATGACAGTGGATACAGCCTTGCTTTTTGATGGACAGTGTTTTGATGGAAACCCAGCTGGCCTGAAAGCTTCACGTTTTCACGTGGTGAAATTTCCTTTGGTGGTGCTCCTCCCTCTGGAGCGGGAGTTCCTCGCCCTGCACTTCTGTGTAGGAAAAGCCACCTTCTGGAAGAAACATTGGACTGGGGTCCCGACTACTTGGTCAGTAAAGATCCCAGGGCCCTTCCCTGCACTGGGGAAGTTGACTCTTAACCCTGGAAGAATCTTAACCCTGTCTGCTGGCTAAGCTATGCACTGGGCTTGTACAGTCTGAATTCCCTACAGTTCCTCCTCAATCCACCTGGGGCAGCAGCTCTGTCCTCTCTCCTCCCCCTGATCTGTGTGCAGTGGGGCTGCTGGTGCAGAATG